ACAGCTAGACGAAGCTTCCTGCAGATACTGCACAACCACAGAAACCACGAACACCAACCAGCAAAAGGGGGATGAATATCTAAGAGACAATGCCCACGTGGATTCCAGAGACAGAGCGAGCACAGCCTGCTGGCACGCGAGGTGAGAAGCAAAGAACAGAGACACTATACCTCCTTCAGAGTAGGCGCAAACAACTTCAACAAAGCAGTCGATACCCAAGCTGCCAAAGGCAAGTGCACCTGACACCAGCCCTATACCCAGCACCTCCACATCCTCCTCAAGCTAGTCCGAGGACAGTTCGAGCAGGAAAAAGAAATGCAAAACCGAAGCCAAATGCCCCTGGGCACGCAAATCCTCAGCAACCGAAAGGACAGGAAAGGACGGGAACCTGCACATAAATCTGCACCTGGCCAATATCCTTAGGAAGAACGGGTGAGAGTAAGCATGCATTGAGATGCTTGAACTTGCCCCCCCTGGTAAACCTGAACCACCGTAGAAGTTTCCCACCATTCATGCGTGCGGGTCCAACAGAACGTATGCCATGCCCTCAAAGAAAAGGACAGTTTGCCAACCAGGATGAAACCGGCATCTTGTAACACACCCAATAAGGAAAAACAGAACTGAACTCAAACAAGAAACTTGCCCGAAACGCTAAGCGTATTAGTGGCTTTAGGTATGTACTAGCTCTATCTATAAATCCAACATTATGTTTGTAAATCAACGAAGTATGTACTTTTCCGGAATAAAAAAATTAATTTAATTTAATTTAAAGGAAGGGTCCATTATCAAGGCAAAATCCGGGTCATGCAGGAGGTACGCTGCAACGGCCTCCCGAACCTGTGTAGGTGGGATGCGGGAGGCTGAAATCCTCTGGAAGGAGGGGACCAAAAAATCCCAGGGGAACCTGGAACCGAACCTGGGGAGGAGCCGGAATCATATCAAACTCGTACAGGGAGGAGAAGGGAAGGGGGGGGGGAAGAATGAGCAGGACAAGCCAAGCCTGTGCCCCGTTTGACACCCAAGCGGGGTTAAACGGGGCAGAGCCGCCCTCCAAACTCCTCTGCTTCTAAAGAAAAGGCAGAGCTCACCGGAAAAGGGGGACCAGCTGGTCAGACCCCGAAGTGCTGGCTGGAGGAGCAGGCTCGAATGCCTCCATTGCCGAACTGGATGGGGCAAGGGGGAGGGGGGGGGGGGTGATGAGCAGGACAAACAGCAGGAGAAGGACAAGGGACCGGGGACCAAACCAAAATCAAAGTGATTTATGCCCCCAAGTCCGGGTCCCTATAACCAAATCGAGGCTGCCTTGGGGCATCCGGAAAGGCAACCAACCTAGTGCGTTGCAGCAACCTAAACTGTGCATGCAACGCTGAAGCTGCCTGCACCCGAATATCAATATTAGTAGACTGGATGAATTGGCATACAAGCAAGGAACACCACTTCCAGGACTCTGGGTCAAAGTTGTCATTGACCCAACAGGCATCACGGTGGGGGGCAAAACAATGAATGTCACCCTGAGACAAGGGGACAGAGCAACCTTTGAACTTGTACGAAGCGAGATGAGACCATAGGATGTCTCCATGGGACCAAAGAGCCCAAATGGGGGTATTCCAGGGCCTTCAGGCTGACTGCTAAGGTTATGTCATGCAAGGTACTGCTAAGCAGTTGGCCCAAACTACCGGGAGAACAACTATAGCTGAACCCCTGCAACATGTACAAGTACGGGGGCCTAGCAGGGAACCACCAAAATAACAGAGGGTAACAATAACCAAAGACAGACCCCCACCAGCCAAAAGAAACAAAAGCAAATGAAAAACCCAACTAAATCACAATATCTTCAGGAAGAACAGAACTGGTCGCTGTGTATAATGTGACAAGCTGCACAGTACCTTGCGCCCTTACCAGTGACAATACTACCTCCTACCCTAGGTCAAATGGCGGCAATGAAAACCCCAGCTGACCCCAAGGGCAGTCACCAAGCAGCAAAAAGTCCCTATGGCAGTAGTTCCCGAATGACTTGTGAAAGATAACCCCATGCCGTAAGGGGCAGTACTTACAAGGCACCTAGGGAAGAAAACCCTAGGCGCATGCAGCCCCAGTATGTCTTGAATTACTCTTGGCTCGCAAACAATAACACATCAGAACAGTACCGCAAGGGCACAGCACCGCTTAGAGACAAGAACCAGAGTCTAACAACCGCCATGCCACATCAATCTCAGAACTGAGGTTGGATAGCTGGTGCGAGGGATCTGGGGCTCCCCCTTCCCCCTCCCAGGAAGGGGGAGTGGGGAGCTGCGCAGACAGCGGTGCGGCGGCTGTTGTGACGTCATGCTTATTTGCTTGTTTTAGATTAGGGAGTTGTTCTTGCCAGTTCGGCTTTAGGTATCAATTTTGTAACCAGGTGGAGTTTGTTTTGGGACGCTTACCTTTCTGGATGCCTAACCCGGTCGATAGTAGACATGGAATGCTCCCAACCACATGGGGGGTTTCTATAAGCCACTGTTCCTCGCACCTCTCTGAGGGGGCCAGGTTCTGGCTCATGGTCCCCGGTAAGCAAGAACTCCATCGAATAGACCGATGTCACGGTCTAATACATAGATATCAGCCTGGTATAGCACTGGGGAGCCAGAGGAGCTCTCCACACAAACAGGGACTTAACTGGGAGGCGGCAGTACTGTAGGTCTCAAGACGAAGATGAGATAACAGGCCACTACAGATATCCCAAAGCAACACAAGGCTTGAGAAGGCCCGGAACGTTCACAAGATACCTGGTGGCCAGGACCCTGTTTGATCTCCAAAACTCTGAATGTTGACCCCAAGATGTATTCCCACCATACATCATGGGCACGAGGGTAGATTGCAGGCTGGCAAGACTTTATGACACTGTGGACAACCTGAGACACACGAGCTTTGGAACAGGAAATCAGGGAAACCGGATCCATCCAGAGCGCATCCACTGACACTGAATCACTGGCCTGCAGGTAGTGATGCAAAGCCGTCACCGGACATAACACATGATGCACCTCCAACCGAACCAATGAAGCATCCAAAACCAACAGACCCCTCTGGAAGCCAACCATCTTATTCTTCGCCAGATAAGAAGGACGGATCTGCAAACGAATAAAACAACCCCCAGGACCAAAAGAACAGTACCCTTGGCACCAGAGAAGACCATGAAGCTCCCGAACCCATTATCGAGAGGAGAAAGCCAACAAAAACAAGGCCTTCATAAAAAAGTTCTGAACTGAAGGGGCCACAACAAAACGAGAAGAGAGAAAAGAGAGCACCCGGTTCAAAGACCAGGACAGCTCAGGCAGCGCCTGAGCAGACCAAAGGCGAAAAAAGGCACGAGAGAGCTTGCAGAACGAAGGCGAAGTGACATCCACTCCAAATGCAAGCTGAAGCACCTCCGCCAATGCCGCACGATAAGAAGTGACAGTATTCGGCATAAGATGCCAGTCCAGAAAAAGCCAAGAGAGAAAGGACAAAACAACCTTAACAGACACAGATGACACCCTAAGAAGGGAAAGGAAATGGCGGAAAGACTGTCAGGGGACTTCATACTGTCGCTGAGACGAAGCCCTCAGGTGGAACGAGGTGGGATCAATGAAGCCACCTGATCACCATACCAGTGTCAGAAAAACCAAACGTGAAGAGTGGAAGAGTAAGCCGAATCAGCGAGGTACCTCACCAGCCCAACCTGCTGTAAGAGGTGGAGGCCCGGAAAGACACCCGGGTCTGGACACCGAGCAAGCAGCGCCTGAAATCAAGGCTGGGCTGGCTACCATGGGGACAGGAGAAGCACTCTTTCCCTGATAGGATTCCAGCTGAGCCAGACCCTGGAGCAACAGATGAACCGGGAGATAAAGGTACAGGAACCCCCCCCCCCCCCCTCGATCAGTCCTGCCAAAAAGCGTCCACCGTGACAGCGCTTCGCAGTCGGGAAACGGCGCCACGCATAATGGGAGATGCCGAGACCATGTCTTCGTAAAGAGGTCCCCCTCCAGGCCCTATCTCCAAACCCCGAGAACTCAGCAGAAGAGGTACCCGAAGCAACCAGCCTCAAAGAGTCACGGACCACAGAGACACCCTCCCCCGGTTGAGACAATGAACCACAGGAGAGCAGTCCGAATGGAGCTGGATCACAGAACCCCAAGGGAGTCGAATCTGCCACAGCACATGCCACACAGCCTCAAACTCCCACACTGCTGTGAGCCCAACGAAAAGACAGACCCCAATGACCTTGGCCAGCCTGGTGAGCGCTGGTCACAAAGTTCCACCCAAGAAACTTGGCGTCCATGAACACATCGAGCAAGGGAAGGGTAAGGTGCCATTGCACCGAACCCCAAAAAACCCAAAGAGGAAGTTGGAGACGCAGCAACTGACGCAAGGACCCCAGGGAACAAACCTAGTGTTTGTGAGAGTGGCAAAAAGGGCTGCCCGGAGATACCAGAACAGCCTCCAGAACCAAACCCTGGCCAGTGGGTAAACCAACATGGCAAAGTTCACGCTCCCTCACAATTGTTCGAGCAACCGCCAAGTGACCCAGGTCCCACTTAGAAACAGCCGAAGGTGGGACCGCAACTGGAGCAATGCCACAGGAGCGAGAGAGACTAACGTTGTCCGCAAATCCCACACGAGGCCCAGTAACGTTTGAACCTGGGGACGGAACCAACTGGGACTTTGCCAATTTATCAGTAACCCGAACCCAACCCCAACAAGCTGGGAAAGTACCAGATCCCAGGCTAGCAGACACACAGACTGGCTGAGAGCCCACACCTACCAGTCGTTGAGGTAGGCCAGAATCCGAAGACCTAGCAGACACAAACGGGCCACCATGACCCTGGTTAATAGCTATGTTGCCCAGGGGTTAAAGTCATACAAAAATTAACATATCATAAACATAAGCATGTATTACACCTCTTAATATAACATACTGTACATTATAAGAGGGGAGAATTCAGTGAAAAGTATGGAATTTGCTGGAAAAAACATAATCTTACCTAGATTGGTAGAGTGTTCATTTATTGGGGAATTCATCCATGTCTGGCGTAGAATGTGGTCACCTTGATCAAAGTAATCCACAGTACCCATAGGATGAGCTACAGACATCTCCGATCGATTCTTCCATACACCTATGAGCCAGTTGCTAGTCTGCTGCAGCAGGACATTATTATCACCTTCATAGGTGCAGTTAGCATCATTGTCATTGCGTAAGTATATCAATCCTGAACCTGAGAACAAATTCAGTTGCTCTTAGAATTAAAGTTATAAGCTAGGTTAATATTCTTAATACTGCAATCAGGATGATAAACTTATAATCATAAATGCCTACATTCCATCAGCATGCTACACATGGAGAAAGAAGGAGCTGGACGACAAACAAGAAGGCCTCATAACGATCATGAGAAAGATGTACCCGATTTACCTGAAGGCCACTAACACTAGTTGTCTTGATGAAGACAGGAAACCAGCAGGTTGTCTAAGGTCCCCCATTTGCCTTGATGATCCTCTCTAGGTAGATTTTAAAGCCTAACAGTGTTTTGGCATTTGCAGTTTCGATCGGTAGGCAGTTCCATGGTCTTTATAACCCTGTGGGTGAAAAAGCATCTCCTGTTCTCAGTCCTACATTGAGGTTTGTTGAGCTTGAAACCGTTGCTCCTTGTTTGTGTTACATCTGATCTTTGAAGAAATTGTCAGGAACAACATCCTCCAACTTGTTTAGTATTTTAAAAGTTTCAATGAGATCTGCCCTGTCTTGCCTGGTTTGCATTGTTAGTTCTGTGGGCCTCCAGTGTCCATGATACCAGAGATAACTTAGCTCTGGAATGACTGTTGGGGCTCGGTGTTGCACTTTTCTCCAGAAAGCTACGTCTTTCTGAAGGTGAGGTCTCCATGCTGAGATACAATAATCAAAATGGGAGTGCACCAGAGATTTATACAGTTGAATCACTACCTTCTTTTCCTTAACCAATGCACTGTGCAAAGCGTCTTAAGGCACCCAATTGGGGTGCACAGAGCACCATATGACATTTTAGGTATAGGGAATTAAAAAATGCAACGGGTACATAGGACATCCTGTATGGGTACATCCTGTGCCTCAGGACTCCTGTAAACAGATGGCATCTTGAAAAGAAATCATCTGCATCGCTGCTGGATGTAAGAACTTTAGTACTGAGAGCGCAACCAAGGCTGGACATACAGGACTATGTACAGTGTTCAGATATCAGTGAATACAATGCTAGTTATGATATTAACAGCATGAGGTACAGACATAGCACCCAGCCTTTGTTTCCTGCATCTAACCATCATGAAATGACCTTATGTTCCTTTACTTATGTTAATTTTCTTTACTAATGTTCATTTCCTTACGGAAATGGATTCATAATTGGAATTTTTGACAGGAATGTGATAATAGCAGCAGTAGCTAATCATAGCCAAATGTGTAGAATATTGTAGGCCTTGTCTTGCATCATGTGACTGCTGGTGTCGTCAGCTTGTATCATGTGGCTGAATACTGTGTTTTGATTTCATCACCACACCCACCAGAACTGCTTATTAGTTTGTTATTACGCATATAAATGTTGATAGTGATATATAACATGTGTATATAGCATAAAAACAACAAGAACACTGGTTGATCTAAGAATATGTCACCATATATGAGCTCCATATTTTTTAAAATGGTGATGTCCTCATTTAACTATATAAATTCCACATATTACACACTACTGAATAAAATTACTACAAAAAACCAGCGTTGAATGTAATGAAACGCCATTTCAAACCTACTACATCCTATTTGGAAGCAAATCTACAAATGCAATTCAGCTTCAGATTGACAATGTAAACATTAGCAATAAAAATGATGGAAAGTTTCTTGGCATTTTCCTAGACAAGAGACTCAACTTCAGTACCCACATACAACACATAACTAAGAAAGTCTCTAAAACAGTTGGTATACTCTCCAAAATCAGATATTATGTTCCCAACTCTGCTGTCATCTCTCTATATTATGCACTAATCTATCCCTATCTCAACTATGGTATCTGTGCATGGGATTCAACCACTGCAAACCACCTCAAGTCCATCATCATCCAGCAAAAATCTGCTATCAGAATAATATCAAGTTCTGCTTTCAGACAACACACAGCCCCCTTGTTTAACTCCCTAAACATGCTAAACATAATCTCACTCCACAAATTCTTTTGTGTCAACTACATTTACAAAACCCTGTTCTTAAATGCAAATCCTTGTCTGAAACTCTTCTTGGACAGATGTAATAGGACCCATTATCACCACACCAGAAATAAATATCTCTTTGATATCCCCAGAGTTAAACTTAATCTGTGAAAACACTATGCAAATAAAGGGACCCAGTTTATGGAACTCACTCCCTACTGAATTGAAAAGCTGTCCAACTTTTACATCATTCAAAATCAATACTAAAAAGTACCTAATTTCATCTTCATAGTTTTTCGCTTTTTGCCTTAAAATTGCACTGTATCAATTGCTACCCAATCTCCCAACCTTTATGTTCCCAATTTGAACATCTTTACCATTGTGATCATTGCTGTTTTCTTATATGTGCTGCCAATCTGTTGTTTGGTGTTTATAAATCTTGTTTATCTGTATCTTTTGCTACCCAGTCTCCCAATCTTTATGTACCCAATCTGAACATCTTTACCATTGTGATCATTGCTGTCTTATATGTGCTGTCAATCTGCTGTTTGGTGTCTATTAACCTTGTTTAAATTACTAATCAAGCTGTCAATGTATTTAATCAGAGCTTTAATATAACAATGTGCTTTAATATACCTACTTATCTCTCATCTCATTTTTCTCTTGTAATGTATCTTTATCATTTATCAATTCTGATTGAAATTACCTACTTAAAATTATCTGCTAGATTAAGGACCTGCCCGAAACGCTGTGCGTACTAGTGGCTTTACAAGAATGTAAATACTGTACTATCCAATGTATTCTCACAAACCCAATGTACCTTCTATTATATATATATATAAATAAATAAATTTTCTGGGTGAGACCCGGAGGCTCCCCGGAGCTTTACCGGCTGATATGCTAATGTCAGACTTTGGCATCAGTCATGTGTATGGAGTTCTAGGGCCTACCGGGGACCACGGCCAGAACCTGGCCCCCTCAGAGAGGCAAGGTAAGCAATGGCCTATAGAAACCCCCGTGTGGTAGGAAGCATTCTATGTCTGCCATCGACCGGATCAAGCATCCAGAAAGGTAAGCATTCCAAAACAAACCCCTATTCTGGTGAAAATTGCTACCTAAAGCCGAACTAGTGGATATAACTCTTCAACAGAAAACAAGGAAACTAGTATGAAGTCATACGTCACCGCGCCGCTGTCTGCGCAGCTCCCCCTCCCCAGGAGGGGGAAGGGGGAGCCCCAGACCTCTCACGCCGGCTATCCACCCATCAGTTCTGAGGCAGGACATCAAAACACGCGAGAAACCGCCGACCGGAGGGAGGGAGGGAGGGTTGCCGGGGAGCCTCCGGGTCTCGCCCAGAAAATGGCGTTTCATTACATTCAACGCTGGTTTTCTGGGGGGAGCCCTGTCGGCTCCCCAGAGCTAATTACCCACAGAGGAAGGTCAAAGGGACAGAACCGGGAGGCGGACACCACGCACCCCCCACGGAAGCGAGATAACCGGTAGCAAATGCCAACCCAAGGCGCCACAGCCCCGAAAAGTCCCGGGAATAACACGAGAACAACGAGCAGCAAGGCCCCCGCACGAACACCAAAAATCCATGCCCGAAAGACCGCAAGGCCACGTCGCCCAGACGGCAGCGAGAGCAGCGAAGCTACAAACGCCACAGGCATGAGGGAAGAACACAGGCAGCTTAGCCGCAAGAACACGGCTGACCACCCAGGACACCATCACCCGCGAACCGGGAAGAACAGAACCAGATCAACGCAAAACGCGCTCCGGACCCAAACGCCGTGGCACGCAAACAACAGCGGAGGGCCGTTATCTTATCTTGAGGGTATCTTGAGATGATTTCGGGGCTTTTTAGTGTCCCTGCGGCCCGGTCCTTGACCAGGCCTCCACCCCCAGGAAGCAGCCCGTGACAGCTGACTAACACCCAGGTACCTATTTTACTGCTAGGTAACAGGGGCATAGGGAGAAAGAAACTCTGCCCATTGTTTCTCGCCGGTGACTGGGATCGAACCCAGGACCACAGGATCACAAGTCCAGCGTGCTGTCCGCTTGGCCGACCGGCTCCTTACTCGGCGCCGTCACTGAACACAAAACACAACACACCCCCGGCCCGACTAACGAAGCACCAACAAACCCTGGACCCCTCCAGAATGCAGCAGCCCCACCCCGCGCCAGAAAAGATGGAGACTGCTGCCACCGAACAACCAAAACGCTAAAACCGAAGGAGCAAGAAAACTCAGCGACTCGACCGCCAGAGGCAAAGGCCAAAAGGAAAGAGCCGACGAAAAAAAACCACCGGAACCGAAGGGGCACTACCAACCGAGGAGAAGACAGAGCATGCTGACCAGAGACCAGGATGGTGCAAGCGGTGCACGAACAGGCCGGAGGTGAAACGGCGCACAAGACACCAAGACGGAAGCAAGCTGAAGTGGCTCTGCCAGCGCCGCACGAAAAGAGGCGACAGTATGTAGCAAGACGATGGCAAGTAGCCCAACCGGGCGACAAAAAGCCCAACAGGGCTACAAGTAGCCCAACAGGGCGACAAGTAGCCCAAAACGGCGACAAGGACGAGGAGCCGACAGACGTTCCAATAATGCGGGAAGTAGCGAAAAACCTTCCTGTACCCTCGAGAACACAGAAGCCAACACTAGTCCTGATGGCACACGAAGGCGGAGGCGCACCCGAGATCAGAAGTCACGCAGAACCCGATCGAATGGGGAAACATGACGAAAACACCATCCCAAAAAGGGTGGGAGGAAACATCCACCCACAGGACGGAACCAACCGACTCAAAGGCCAAGGAACCGAGCCCGGGGAGGGGCCGACGCCCAACAGCACGTACGGCGAGTGGGGAGGAAAGACCCCAATCCGCATAACCACAAGCCCCACCTAGAGGGGGATAAACCCCACGGGGTCCAACGGGGCCAAGGCCCACCAAGTCAGCCCCTCCCCAGCCCCGGGAACCTACACGACAGGCCCCGGGGCCGAGCCGTTCCCCCAAAGCCCTGGCCGTACCAGAAAACCGGGGCAGCCGTGAAAACAC